CGGGACTAGATGGCCTTAAGGGGAGAGTTTTAAAGAGACAGTATGTGAAGAAGGAACAAACTAACCCCTCAACAAAATTATTTCGGTTTTTTTTAGACTTACAGATCTACCAAATACATTATCATTTATATGACCCCTTCCTTAAAAAAGTGAGAGCAAAAAATCTAGAGGACTTTGGTCCTGTGGCTCTAACATCAATACTCACTAAATGCATGGAAAGAGTAGTTAGTTATCACCTTAAACCATACATATCAGATCAACTAGATGTACTGCAATTTGCATACAAATCGCAAAGAGTGTTTTAGGGTATAATATAACTGTGTGGTTTGAACGAGTTACATCTGTGAATAAAGCAAAATTAGTCAGAATTACAGGAGTAGCTGGAAAAATGATAAGATCTAATCCAAAATCAGTCGCACAGTTATATCAAATTTCTATTCAGAGAAAAGCTTTGACTATAACAAGAGACACAAAACACACCCCTTGAATCATGTATTTGAATTATTCTCTACCAAATGCAACACGTTTTTTGAATAAGAGGTAGGAAATGTGAATATTTTAATCTGTGTGTGTATTATTAATTGTTTTGGGAATGTATGGCAAGACAAAAGACCAATTTTCAGCTTGAGGCTGAACAATAAATTATAGGACTACGTATAGGCCTGATAACAATAGGCCTATATTTTGGCGTTCATGACTTTTTTGTGGTGGAGTTAGTGAAAGTAGCGACAACATTGATTTCAATTTCAGAGGACAGTATCTTTCCAGTAAATATTTTTTGATAGAAGAAGCAGTGTTGCGTGACAATATACCACATAGATAGACTGTGAAAGTCTATACATTCACTTCCTCTGGAAAGTCCAAATAATCTTTGTGATCCGGATCGTTCAGACGACTCCTTTAAATGCACTATTTGAATAAAATGATGAATCGATTCATTTGTGTTTGCATCATGTTTCTTTATAACAATAATTTGACAAAATAATAGGCTATTATTTAATTACTTTCTGCTGTTGTTTTATATTTTATGCATTTATATAAATAAGTAGGCTACTATTATATTCAAATGTACTATTTTTATTGGTGGCTAAAAGAGATCCTGTGTTTTTGCCACACTCAAAAAAATGATACATTGGCTTTAATTAGCTTTAATATATTTATAGTTGTCACGGGGTGTGGTGGAGTGTAGGTAGAAGAAGGAGACCGAAGAGGCAAATGCTCCAATTCAAACACTTTACTTAAATACAAAATAGCAAACAGGAACGGGTACAGGCAGGAAAACGCTCACACCACGGAAGGGTAACACATTAACAACGATCGACAAGGACTGAATGGAACAGAGGGAACTAAATACACAGATGAAGCAAACATAATGATGTGAAAACAGGTGGCTGATGAGGGAGTGAGTTCGGGAGTAAAGACAAGAGGATCCTGGAAGTGTAGTGCTGATGACAAGACAGACTGGTGCAGAGGACGGACTGTGACAATAGTTCAAGTAACATAATTTGTTCAAGTAACTTCAACATAATGGAATTAAGTCATTTTAAGTGATACACTCTGATCACCATAGAGAGCCTAGGTCCCGCCCCTCCGCTTCCGGCTCATGGGACCTTATTTCGAGAAAAAATATGAATGGTAGTCAATGGCGAGAGACAACTTATCTTTTTATTCCGTCTGAACTGTGCCCTCAACATATGATGTTTGTCAATTTAAAAGATAATTCTGAAAGTCAAAAACGTCGCAGTTTGTCATAAAACAGAAGAGTAACATTTAGTTTGTGAAAATCGCTCTATGAACTACATCTCCCGGGAAACGAAACAAAGAGTGAGATCCGCTGCTTGTGTGTGTGCAGTCTAGTACAAAACACTCATGTATGGTGGCGTAACGTTACGATTATAATGGTAGACTATAGAAACAATGACAGACAATATAGCCTCAGTAAAGTTAGCTTCATTCATTGAGAGAAAATGTGCGCCTTTGGGGTTTGTAGTCTTTGTAATTACGTATTTTCACAGTCTTACCTCAACGGTTTTACATCAAACTGCGACTTTCTTTACTTTAAAATGTGTCTTTTAAATTGACAAACATCATATGTGTAATTCAGGGCATAATTCAAACACGATCAAAATATTTGTTGTCTCTCGCCATTCAATACCATTCAATATGTTTCCGAAATAAGGTCCCATGGTGGTCGACCAGAAGGGGAGGGACTTAGGCTCTCTATAATGGTGAACATTCCGGTTTTCTCCTTCAGTGATTCTGCTTGTTGGTAAATGGTAAATGGACTGCATTTATGTAGCACCTTTCACAGACCCAATGGCCACCAAAGCGCTTTACATTGCCTCACATTCACCCATTCACCTACACACCGACTTTGTTACCGTCAGCTCAGGTGTCTTCAATAATGCTCAATCATCACTCAATTATTCACTTAATTATCTCATCCGATTGAACACTGCTTCAGTGTTCATTTAAACACTCTGCTCAGAGCTTAATTGGGCCACTTAAAATGACTTATTTTATGATGTTGAAGTTACATGAACAAATTATGTTTTTTTTTTTATATAACCCAGTTATGTGGAACCTTTTGACATAAAAAGGTTAATTAAAGCCAACATATCTTTTTTTTAGTGCAGATAAATTAAGTAAATAAATAAATCTGTGTATATATTGAGGCATTTTGTGGAATCTAACCTGCTAGTAGTTTGAAAACCCCTAATTTAGCTTATTACATTTTCTAAAAGGACCAGTTTCAATATGAGTTATAACTAGCTTGTGGCTCAGTTTTATTTATTTGGTGTAGTAATTTGTATCTGCATAATCAGATTTATGTATTGCATTATCGTCTTGCAAAATGTAATAATGCTTTAATCAGATTTGATAAATACGATTTGAATGATTGTTTTATGTTTTTCTATTGCTGAAAAACACCAAATGCTAAATGATATACAGCATGCATGTCAATATTGATCTCTTAAAAAATTCCTGAAGCTCATTCATTATCCTGTCACTCTCTTTTCACGTGGACAACTGAGGGTGATGACATGATTAGATTTGCATACACATGACATCAGCAAAAACTTTCCCAAAACTGTTATGTTGCGCAATTCCCTCTGACTCACTTCCACGACGGAGCTTTAAAAGAGCTGCAATCTCCATAACGTGGAGCATTCACCAGCAGAACTGGACACCTGAAGCAACTAACATCAAGAATACTTTTCATTTAGTTGTTTTCATTAGTAAATCTAAGCTTCGCTTTGGCAGAATGAACTGCAAAATCTTTTCAGTCTTTGTTATTGTTGCCTTTGCATTCCTGACCATTGCTGAAGGTAAGTCATTGTTTTTCATGGTAATCAGTAACCATAGTTTGGCACTTCAGTAATTCATGCCTGCATGTGATATGACAATATTAACTTATTCTTGTGATGTTGCTTTCAGGAATGAGTCTTAGAGGTGTGGGTGTAGATCTACGCTGTCACTGCATTGAAACAGAGAGTCGACGCATTGGTAAACACATAGAGAGCGTGGAGCTCTTCCCTCCCAGCCCACACTGTAAAGACACAGAGATCATGTGAGTTCTCACCTTGACAATGGCATAACACTTACAGATTACATCTATGAATACAATCAGAAATATGGTTCTTACTGTTTTCTTCTTCTTCATTTTTAGTGCCACCCTAAAGGGATCAAAGAAAGAGATCTGTCTGGACCCCACTGCCCCCTGGGTTAAGAAGGTCATTGAGAAGATCCTTGCCAAGTAAGTGTCAATAAATTCTCACCATTATTTAGATAGTGACAAATGCTGAAAAAAGTACAACCAATGAGCCTACAAATTATGCTACAGCCTACAAATTATCAGGTCTTCTCAAGGAAATAATAATGCCTCTTTTTTGCAGCAAAAACCATAAATATCTGGATCATCTGTGATGTTGAGCTTGACGATATGGTGTCCACATCTGCCATTTTAACCTGACATTCTGCTTATGTTTAAAACAGCTTGTTCAATGTGGAGTTTTTTGTATGTACATAAGTGTTGTGTTTATATTTATTTATTCTTAATATATATTTATATATTTTTTTTTAATAAAATGATTTTGTACTAAATTTTATGACATGTATTTTTTCCGTATTTTACTTATTTAAAGACATATTTGCTTATTTAGCCTGTTTTATTATATATTTATGCTAAAAAAGATGCACTAAACTCAATGACAACCACTTTAAAACAATGACACCAAACATCATTCATATATATTTAATGATTAAATGGCTGCAATGCACTTTCTCCTGACTCTATAAGAAAAATGAAACGGCTCTTTTCATGATAAAAAGAAAAAAAATCATGGCTCATTTTTAGCTTTTTGTGGTTATTACTTATTTAAGGTTCAATTGTTTTGAGTGTTTCTTTCACTGAACAAAACATTGATAATAAAGATTTACTCTCACTCTTTGATGTTCTGGGTTCCTTATAGAAAGAAAATAATCACTTTAGAATTCAATTAAATTATTATAATTTAAAATATATATATTTTTTGTAATAATTATTACTAATGCATATGATGTTTATAAAGTAGTTAGACTCCCCTAATGAAGTGGATTCAAAGGTTGAATAAAATCTGAAAGCAAGTTTTTTGTCTGCGTTTGAGCAGCTCTACTGTCAGTCTCTCAGAGCATTGCCCTTTATACTGAGTAGGTTAGAAAGACACATCTGGCAAACTTGTTTCAATACAAGACTGCACATGTTAGGTCACGTGAAGACTTGTGGCCACATCAAGAGAAAACACCATTCTGTTGCACCGTCAGGCACTCCCCCATTTCTGCCGCTAATTTCATTGCACTTTGGACAAGTATTTCAGTTTTATGACAGGAAAATGACTGTGATGTTAGATTAACAGGTCAACCTGCAATAATGAATGTGGGAGTAATTAAATGCAACAATATTAGTGTGTTCTGAAATCTGATATCTGTTCTGATATGCAAAATAATTGTATTATCAGAAATCACTTCATAAACAATGTTTTTATCTCTTCAGCTTTACAAGCATATGAATTTAATTAAAATTAAGTAATCCTTTTTTGAGGAATGAACAAACATTATTAAGTAGAATCAAGAATCAAGTTGTGCTTTCTTGTCTAAAACAACTCATATTTAAAGACATATGTATTTTTGTAAAAAAATATGTTAAAATAAATATGTTACATGAATGATTTAGTAATGATTCATTAGTATGACATAGCCAACCAGGAATTAGTCTTGTGTACATGATATTTCACAAAACGTCTGCGGTTTATTTGAAGATCAAGAATGGCAGGTATAGATGGCTGTAAGTGGTTGTGACAAATTATACCTACGTCAATTTATTTCAGTCCATCTCTTTCACATTATTACACAAGTTAGTTGTTTTTTCCTTTTTGCTTTGTTTTAGTGTTGACTAGATGGATAGTGTTAATAATCTACATAAGAAATGGTTAATGATTTTAATGTCATCATATATAATAATAATAATCTGAATATCAGATACGACCTTGAGTGGCCTCACTTTATGATTGGCCCCCCAAAAGAGTTAAACTTGCTTCTTCGCTTTCTCCATTTTGTCTTTTGATTTTCAAGACTTTTCTTCCTTTCTGCTGTCTACCAGCTGTTGCCAGAGTGTTTTGTTCCTTCTACAACCTTCTTTCAGAGGAGAACAGGACTCACAAATGCTGGCCAGGGCCTGGAAAAGAAGGGTAGAGAGAGAGAGAAAGAGTAGGTATACTATAGACTATATTCTTCTTTTGCAAGACGGAGGCACAGCATTGCAGCAGAAATGCCTCTCATTTCTAACAGGATGTGTGCAGGCAGGCCCTCACCTCATAAAGCGGAGAGCAAATCCCGTCGATATAGTCAACCTGCATGTGAGGCAACCGAGAGGAGTTTTCACGGTCCATCACATCCTGTGAGAAACAGATTCAACATTATAATATCTTCCTGTGCAAAAGTTTTGCAGAAAGTTAACACATAACTTTAAACTTACAATTGGCTGAATGTTGAATTCACACTTTTCTCTGTCTCCTTGAGCATAAAATTCTGTTGCTACGAGTTCAGCAATCTGTTGAGAGGACGAGAAAGAAAGAGAAATGTGTGTATGTGCGTATACAAGTGTGTGTTTCTACACTTGAATGTATGTGTGGTTGTGGTGTATCTGCATGCATGCATACAAATGTGTGTGTGGGAGATGCTCACCCGCTTCTGAACTGGCCATGGTTTGGTTATTGCACATATGTCACTTGCTGTCATTAGCATTGACCTATTTAGATCAGGAACATCAGTTAATATAGAGACAGGACGTGGTTACAAGCAAACAAAATGTGGTGAGTGTTTCCTGTTCTTGTGCTGTTCTGCAGTCATAAAATAACAGCAGAAAAAAAAAGAAACAGAATAATAAATGTATGTGTTTTTTGAAAGAAACGTTTAGGTTTTTGTGGGTTACACTGTATGTGAGAATGTGCATCAGATTAAATGTTTTTTATTTATTTTTTTAGTCATAAATGAGTGAATGTTGTGCATTGATGTTCATATTCTTCTAAATATATTTTGTATATTTTTTTACCTCAGCAGTTCTCTGTGTCCTTCATCCTTCCAAAGACAGCTGTTATTCTGAGCTAGTTTAAAGAACTTTGTTCTCTTCCTATGGTTAAATAAACCCATACAGACACATTTAGCTTGTTGTGTTTACATATTTTGTGTGAACATCCATGTGCATAGCTTGAATTGGAAAAGGATATTATAGCTTACTCTATATAAATAGCAAGGTCTGTTGCCAGAATGTTCTTCTCGATCATCTGCACACAGGCCTTGTATTCCTTCAATGAGAGCGAGCTCAGAATCTGACTGCCCTGAGAGAAAGTGGGGCACTTATGAAATATGAAATAGTTGTAAATGGACATTAATTACTTCAATTATGAATAGATAGATGGACAAATGAACAACTGGATGGGTGGATGGATGGACAGACAATTGAACATCTGGATGGATGGATGGATGGATGGATGGACAGACAAATGAACAACTGGATGGGTGGGTGGATGGACAAATGAACAACTAGAAGAATGGATGGACAATTGAACAATTGGATGAATAGAAAAATGAACAACTGGATGATGGATGGATTGATGAATAATAAATAATAATTATAATAATAATTCATTACATTTATATAGCGTTTTTCTCGCCACTCAAAGCGCTTTACATAGAGAGGGAAATCTCCTCAATGGAGATGGATGGATGGATGGATTGACAAGAAGGATGGATAATTTATATTATGAATGAATGGATGGACAACTGGATGGATGGATGGATGGATGGATAAATTATGTTATGGATGGATGGATATTTATTGTATGTTATGGATGGATGGAGAAACAGATAGATGGATGGATGAATAGTTCACATGAAATATATTACGTGAAGTGATGGATGGGTGGATGGATGGATAAATTATGTTATGGATGGATCATTTATGTTATAAATGGATAAATTATTTTATGGATGGATGGATGGATGATTGTGTTATGATTGGATGGATGGATCAACAAATTATTTTATGAATAAATGGATGGATACATTATTTTATGAATAGATGGATAGATTGATGATGTTATGAATAGATTGATGGATAACTATTTTGTGGATAGATGGATAGATGGATGGATGGATGGCGGGATTGATGGATGGAATATTTTATGAATAGATGGATCAATTATTTTATAAATGGATGGATGGATGGATTATTTTATGAATGGATGGATACATTATTTTATAAATGGATGGATGAATGGATGGTTGGACTTATGTATGTTTGGATGGAAGATGTTATGAATGGATGGACGTATGGATAAATAATGTACTGGATAATGGATGGATGGAAAGAAGGATAAACCATGTTATGAACTGATGGAAGGATGGATGAATGGATGGATAGATGTTATGGGATCTTACAGGGTTGTTGAGAATGAGAAGGCACATGTCATTATGATGATGCTCTAGGGATGAGTGACCATACAGCTGTGCCAGAGGCTGGTTACTCCTAAAACACAGAGAGAGAAAGATGGGGAAAGAGAAAAAGATGCACTACAGACTATAAGAATGCATTATTTGCCAGGACAAAATATTAAGGCAATTTACAGTGTTTAAATGTGTATCCAAATATTTATTAAGCCAATGTAGCTGCATATCATTACTGAAGTTTTAGAATAATGTTTAGAATACCACCATAGTTAGAGATGTTCTTTATCAAAGTGGGGGTTGGAGTAGTGTGTACTAGTTTACCTCTCTATGTAAGAGTTATTCACGCCTCTATGGTCCAGATCATGGCTCAGACTGGCAATCATGAGAGCAAGAACCTCCAGACTGCTAAAATGACTCTGGATTAAAGAACATGAGAGATTAAGTAAACTTGGAATAATACCAAATGTGAGGGCAATAAACTATCAGAGATTTGGAAAGACAAGATTAATTAAATAATAATTTGCATAACCCTCATCCCTCTCGAACACTTTTCCTCGAGGGGTAAAAATTACCCGAAGCCCTAAAATTATACTTTTTTTTTGTCCAGAAAGCTTATTTTATTTAATTTTTATAATATTTTTTCTATTTTTTGTTATTTTATTTCATTATTTTTTACCTTTAAAATACTAGATCTGATCAAAAAATAATAAATAGTAATTTAAGCACATTCCTCACATTCTTTCAAGTTTTAAATTCAAAATAACTCCAATTTCATGCATAACCCTTTTAATTCAGCTAAAAATATCTTACACTGAGCAAATGAGCTGTTCCTCTGGGTCCTAAAGTAATTTCTTTCAGTATGCATTCAGATAAAACAATGCATTATATATTAAAACATTAATATGTCAAATTGCCCCGTGAGGAAAGGAAATCCATTACATTTAAAAAAAAAATCGAAAAATTTCTCGACAGACTATGATTCTGACCTTTAGCTCCTTTGTCTGCAGCATGGCAAACATACACTGAGCAGTATGTAATGCATGACTCCAGTTATGATAGACCACATTGTTCCTGTAACACTTCCTTGTGCTCAAAACCCATTGACACAGGGTCTGAAAAAGAAAGGGAAATACCAATTCTAGATCCATAGCTTACATGCAAGTACATTACTCAAAGCTTGATTGTGATTTTAGTTATTTAGAAGAGTCAAGCATGATTAAACCAGAAACCTTGAAAGCAATGTTGAAATCCTGGAGCAAATTAAGTTCCAGGAACATGCGCACAACGGCCTGAGCCATGGCAGTCTGGGACATATTAAAATCACTGAAGCCAAAATCCAGTAGACAGAGCACATCTGCTGACGGGATAACGGACTCCTGGGGAAATAGGGAAGATTATTGAGGGGAAATGGGGAATATTATTGATAAAATCTTCCAAGTGACACACTAAAAAATGTCCTGGGTTGAGTGGTGCAACTGACAAAACCACACACACTCACAAGAATAAATGATCCCACCACAGGAAGTTGCAAAGTTCCTTAATCACATCAAGAATTACAGGCTTTAACGATTAAGTTATAAGTAAGTTATAAATAAGTTAATTAAGTCATATATGTGCGGTTCTAGAAGGATTAGAGGTACTTTACAAGAAAAATAAGAAATAAGGAAGTATTAAAAAGAATGTTACCTCCAAGTCATGAATCTCCTCTTGTGAAACAGAGATTTGATAAGATAAGACCTATAGGTGCAAACACATACACACCCATACATACACATCATGAAAAGAAAAAGAAAAACAATGTATAGTATGTTCATTGCTCAATTCTGTTAGTACTTTTAAATATTAGATTTTCCTGTGTAAATCAAGTGTCTTGTTGTGTTATTGTTGAGTCAGCATTCAAAATCACTTACTCATAATTCTTACAATATGAAGTGATTTCCAGTGACTCAAAAGGAACTTGATGGCATGACTTACCTCTTTAGTAACAGCCAGCCTGGCTCTGGTTTTATCTGCCTTCTGTTGCATGTTGAAGTTCTGCAATCCTAGAGCACAGTACACCGCAAAGTCCTCCAGGAGGAGCTCATCAGCTCGGCTAAAAGCTTCTGTCTCAGCAAGGGCCACATTTCTTTTATTGACTAGCTGGCACACACCTGTATGAAGAAAGCAATATGTATACTGTCTAAACAGACTATTTGCATAACAGTATCATTGTCAACCCTCTAAATTCCTTTGGGGATGAACAGAATGGGATGTAATATATTTGAACTGAGGCCAATCACAAATAAGGTCTTTTTAATGGCAATGCCATTAAAAAGGGAGCAAATGGAGACTTTTTGACCTTAGAGTTAAAAGACTCCAGTTATATCATGTGTCTCCTCTTCAAACAGGATTTAAAAGGATACTCCACTTTTTTTTTTTTTTTTTTTTTGGAAATTTAAGTTAAACTGTTGAGTTTTACCGTTTTCAGCCGATTTTCTGATATTTAGAAGAATATCACTAACCAGACCGTTTCTGGTCTCATTGACTTCCATAGTATATTTTTTTCCTACTATGGAAGTCAATGAGCCAGAAATGGTCTGGTTACTGATATTCCTCTAAATATCAGAAAATCGGCTGAATGGATTCAAAAACGGTAAAACTCGACTGTTTAACTCTGGGGGAGTTGTATTTCCAAAAAAGTGGAGTATCCCTTTAAAACTGATCTTAGCAGCATCACAAACTGTGCTCAGATTTTCTAAGTCTGGGATTTCCGTATGAACTCAAAAATGTCTTTGCAAATCCTTCCCAAACCAAATGATCCTGAATGATTTATTCCATGTTACATTTAGAGCTGTATACTCTTATTGTATAATATGATCTCTTGAGCTATACATGTAAAAAAAAGTTTTCGTTCAATGGAACAATACAAGACTGTGGAAACATTTACCCACTGAATAACATTAGCTACCTCTCTGTTTGCCTCTCAGAGGTGTGCCGATCAAACTTCCGATCTGAGGGACCTTGGAAATCTGGCCCTTGGAGAACAGACAAAAACTGTATGTCAGAAAAAAATAAAATCTGTACTTTTTTTGTCACATGATGATATGTTTTTTCCCTATAAAAAAGGAATATGAAAATATGTCATTGGTGGTTTCCAAGTAGAAATATAATCTCAATCATTACATTAGCAAAAGCATTTATACCAACAGGTATAAATAGATGTTATTGGTAAGATTATATAAATAGCAGAGTGAAAATAACTGTATTAAATCAATCATATCAACTTACAGGCCTGTTGACAAAGTTCAGCGTCTCCATTGAGTTTCGCACATGAACAGCGTACATGTAGCTGATGTCACTGGTGTCACAATCCCTGAAGATTACATTCAAATCTGCCATTTGATATTTAACTGACATAAATTTGCTCATAATATGCAGATGTTTTATTAATTTGTTGTTTGCTAAAGTTTTAGGGAGAAATTCTGAAGACTATTATTACATGGCTTTCAACATTATGTGCTCAAACAAACCAACATACATGTTATTGTGTGTCATGATCAAATTATAAATGTACATGTATTTACCTTGTGGAACATTGGACAGAGGAATTGGTTTCTTCTATATGGACCATCCTTGAGAAAGGCCCCTTCAAGACATTAAAAAAACATGGATCTATCAGTCAACTTATCATGCCGTTTTTAGTAGTTTAGCATCTCATGAGCTTTGTGTTGTTTTTGAACCTTTACAAGAAATTAAATGAAAGTGAACGACTAAACCAACACTTTACAGATGCTAATATACAAATGAAACATTCTCCATGAACTTATTCATTTTTGTACTACCATAGAGCTGTCATCTGAGATGAAAACAGTACAGAATTGTGCTTTTGTCACTGGCAGGATGACAGCAGCCAGTTTGCTGAGCATGTCATCCAAAGAGGGGTAGTCATGTGACACCAGCTGGGCCAACTCCAGCAGAACCTGTCAATCAAATCCACCATGATTACAACCACAGTGAATTCAAGATTCTAAAGTAACATAACTGCACAATGTAGGATTAATAAATTGTTGTGATTTAGCACCGTGAAATTACCTCATAGCACTTTTCAGTACTTTTGAAGTTAATTGCTAATTATACTGTATATATTCTAAATCTAGATTCTAAAGTAACATAACTGCACAATGTAGGATTAATAAATCATTGTGATTTAGCACCGTGAAATGACCTCATAGCACTTTTCAGTACTTTTAAAGTTAATTTATAATTATACTGTATATATTGTAAATCTTATTTTTAATTAGTTCTGTCAGTTACCTTCAGAAGAATCACTTATGTTGACGCATTCCTCATACGTCACTTTAGATAAAGGTGTCTAAATGAATAAATGTAAAGTCTGAGTGATTTACCTGGTTGCGTTTGCTCTCTTGTTCAGATCTCTCACACAGCTGGCTGTTTTCCAGGATCAGTCCGAACAACACCATATGTGACGACAGCACCTAGTGGCAAATCACTGTCTCATTCTTTGACTCATCCATTCAAGTCACATGACAGATGTCACGATTACCAGTGAGAGTGCCCATCATTACCACCAGAGGGCACTCTACCCCAGACTATTGCCATTTCCTAATGAAACTACATTTCCCATGACTCTCTGCCTTGACTCATCATCCCTGATTGCATCCACCTGTGTCTCATTAGTTACCTCACCCTATCCACCTTATTCCTATACGCCCCATGACGCTTTGCGCGAATTATGGGTGTAACTAAACAATCAGTGAAAGGCTCGCTCTATGAACGCAATTCGTTAAAAAATGTCAGAATGAGATGACATTAATCGACTCATCCTTAAACCATCGAACATTAAAATAAAATGTAAAAGTTTACAATTCAAAAATAGCCACATTTGCGCAAGTCTTTGGTTAAATATCACTGTAGTAGGCAAATATCTGTATTGTATAACAAGCCTTAAACAAAAATGTTCATTAGCTTCATCATTACATGACTATCAAAGTGATTTCCGTCATTTTGACAGATTACAAATTGCATTTACCTGTGAAAACAAACCTGGAAAGCGACATGAGTATTTGAGGAGAATAACGAGAGATTCTTCGTGCATTGCAGTGAATTATTAATTATCAATGGAATATTGTAAATTAAATTCAGGAGAACAGACCACAAATGTGCCGTATATGGTGTCCTTTTTCATACTTTTACAGCGGATTGTAAAGAAAAAGAAAAATCATCATGAGGAAAAGAAAGCAGCGAATGAAAAGAGCTCTTGCCATATATATTCTTGTTATAACATGTCGAAATACCAAGTATAACGTTATTCTCATGATGTCTGAAAATAAATCAAGAAGGAAATCAAACTGACGGATCAGCTTTATTTGTAGGGCAACATTATGATTTGAAATGATTCGTTTTAGCCTGTTTGAATGGAAGTTCCCCAAACCGGAAGTGCCACCCATAATTCAAAACGCAGTAAGGTCATCAGGAATAAGGTGGATCCTGGTTTTCACAATTCATTCCCTGTCTTGTACGTGTGACACTGCATTTTTGAGCGTTTACACTGTTTTTCATGTTCCTGGTTTTTGTAATCTGCCCGTGTCTCAAACTGTCTCGGAGCATTTCGTATCAACAGTAGTTAGGTTTCATTATTTATTACAGATACCCAAAGTTCACAAAGTTCTTATTCAAATTTCCTGTGTAATTAACACTTTACTTGTACTCTGTATTATTAAATTAAGATTTTTGAAAGGCAAAATGTATGCAATGTTTAATATTGATCAATACTTGCTTTCTCATCTTGCTTGGAGAAACAGCTGTCTACGCATGTGCCTCGCCTGATTTTGTTCACAGCCATGATGACACCTATAACCTGCCAAAATCAAAACAAATAAATGTTCATTACTAAAAAGACTGACAACAGATACGAATAATACAATATAAAAAATGCAGCAAAAGCAATCTTGTGAGACATATAGCATATAGTGACAATATATTTATAACTGTCCAACCTCCTTTTTGTGGTTGAGGATGGGAACACTGAGAATACTCTTGGGTCTGTCTTCTCCTGTCTCACACAGTTCAATCTGAAATCTTGGATCCTATAAAAGGACAATTCAAATCATTTATTCATTACAACACATCAGTTTAAAACCTTGCATAACTATATGTGATGCTTACACTGACCATATGTTGTTTTATAACTGTCAAATGAGAATCAATGAGAACTTTCAGAAACATAAACATAAAAAGAAACATAAGGGTTTCATGAACCCTTAAAGAGGGCCAAAGAGTTGTGACATGTTTCTGAGAGAGATACCACTTAAGTCTCTGTGCTATTTATTCTCTCTCTCTCTCTCTCTCTCTTCTCACATTCTGTCAGCTGTCACAGTAACAAAACCGGGTTTAAAATTTGGACCAGAGAAGATTTTCCTTTATACAGATATGCCTCGGAGCATGTCAAGGCTCACAAGTACATGCAATCTCATCTCTCGTTCCCACGCATATTCATATCCAATAAACCTAAAGATGAGGATGATATATTTGTATCACTCAAAAAATGCTGGGTTGTTTTAAGCCAATTATGGGTAAAATATGGACAAACTCAGCCATTGGCTTAAAAACATAATTTAAAAATGTAACCCAATGGCTGGGTTTGTCCATATTTTACCCAAAATTGGCTTAAAACAACCCAGCATTTTTTAGAGTATATAGACCATTTCACAAGATGTAAACAACACTGGTCCAGAAGCACTTCCTGTTTCAGTTTTTTAACACTACATAAAAGCTGGGATAAAATACAACCAACAGAACATTTAAAACTGAATCAAAAACTTAAACAAACATCTTTAAGATGTTTTCTTTACATGTGAAATAAAGAAAACAGTTACAAACTTTAACAGGAAGTGCTTCTGGACCAGTGTTGTTTACATCTTGTGAAATGGTCTATATATATAAGTTATTATTTTTTAATTATTAAATATTTAATTGTGCATGCTAATTTCCCCTATTTTTCTTTGAGATTACACTTCGCCATCATATAATGCTCACTTAAATGTAATCTTTAAAAACACTTATAATTTAATAACACTGTTAAATGTAATCTTTATTAAACTTCAAAATGAATAACCATTATTCATTTTGTACTATAATAGGTTTTGAGCCCTAAAATCAATTGTAGCATTTACTTTATTTTAATTTTAGTTTCAAGAGTTTTCATTTTAATTTTAATTTATTAAGACAAAAAAAAGTATAGATTCATTGTATATCGGTTCATCTGCTCATAGCTTATTTCATACTTTACAGAATTATGTTGTGATACTTAAAGCAACTTATAGATATAAAAACATTTGTTTTCAATTTTAATGTTTTATTTTAATTTTCCATTTTCCACAAGTTGGTGTGATTCCCTTAGGGTCTTTATGTAAAGTTCGTAACATACTTTGGATAAAATTCCTCAGGTAGAAATATGCTAATATGTGTTTGTGGGCCGTTGGAGTGTTCATACTTTTTAGTTTCACGCCCCCTTTTTTTGAATAAACACGACAATGCACAATCCAAACTTAAATGGTTGTAAATAATTCAAGAATACTTTGGAATATAGATGTAAAATCTAAAATGTAAAAATGACTGTTCTTGAAAAAGGACATTTGGGAGATTTTTGTAGAAGTTAAATACTTTGTAAAGAAGTTATAGAGAGTTTATGAAAATGTAAACATTTAATTATTCATATTTTATATAAAATAGATATTTTTCAAAACCTGGTGGACTCAAAGCCAAAAATCAAAGTCAAAACTCTGAACAAGTTAAGCTTTAAGCAAGATTTTGTTTGGGGGCAGTACCAAACTTTTTCACTAGTCACAACCAGATTCCATTACGGCCCAAGGGCGCCTCCTGTGTTTTGAGTGATCTGAACCATTATTTCCACAAGTATTTTACAATTTATGAAGTAGGCATCCTATTCAGAAGTAGTAAGGGAAGTTTTGGAAGTAAGGGCATATTTTGATATGAATACAACCTCTAATAATCACATAAAAATAACACCCATGTGCGTTATAGCTCGCCGCCGCATCACAAATGGTGAATCTATAATTTTTTCTTTATACTTAAAACATTTTCAGATGTTCAGGTCTGAAAATGTAATAGATGTTATCTTTTGAACTGTTGACATGAAAACAAACGGAGGTTTCTACCATTCTTTCATGATTTTCATGAAATAAGGGTCTTAACAAACCTTAGGAGTATGAAAATATTCATGTTGCAAAATGATTACGGGTCTCCTGTAATTTCTTTTGAAAATCAATCCCCAAATATGAAAACTACAGATTGTAAACTTTCAAATGATATAGTTTGTCAATTAGCTAATTAGATTTAGTGATATTACTGTTTTAAATATGTAATGACTATGGGTGACACTTAAGGGGTTAAAAATTGTTCATTGTATGTCCATCAGTCCTGAAGTGCCTGAGTAATCTTAGTGTTACTGTTACAGGGGGAATCCTGGACCAGACCTGAATTGACTGTGAGAAGGTGTGTAAAATCCAGATTAGACTTGACATGAAACAACCTTACTTTTTTACCTCACGGGCATCCCTGATGTTAAGAGGCTTCCCAGTGCTGACCACATATCCCATAATGCACTTGTCCCACTCTGACTGTCTGTAGTCGTAGACAGACTCCTCATTTGATTGGAAGACAGGACCCAAACACTTCACACCTGTTCTGTCCAGGGTCATCATTGAGAAACAGCAGCTCTGAGCATGAGTGATTTCACAAAGATGTTGTAGGACCTGAAGACAGATATTTTTGTTCTGTAGAGGTCTGTTCGGACCACCAACGAGCCGCACCATGAAGTTACAGGACTTGCCTCTTCTACACTGTCCCGTTGGTCTTGAGGATCTCAAAGAATGTGGCAAATATGTTGACCTTGACACACGAGGTGAAAATGGAAAGTCTGTAGACTGCAATGATTGAATAGAACGCCGCCCGCCGGGGTCCAAACTCTCAGGATTATCAGTCTGCTGGACGGAAAAGGAGTGTGCTCTTTTCATTGTGCCAGGGTGCAGAATCCCTCGAGAGGGCCCAGACTTACGGTGGGGCAACCTGCGTCTGCCAAGAAAAGTCATCCTAGACCTTGGCTCAGTTATGAGGGTTTGGGCAGCTTGGGCTCTTTCTACACAGCCATTCACCCAATATCTAAGAAGAGAAGGGACACAGCGGATTAAATGGCACTAGCAATTTGGGCAAAGCCATCCCTGTCAACAATGACAATTGTGGGTGTTCACGAGTGTATCTAGTGTTTTGGATGATGTTTCCCAGCTTAGAACAAGGCCAAATTAAAAATCATACTGAAGTGGTCTTTTCATCAAACACTGTCTGTGAGATCATTTATGATGTCTCAAAAATATTTCCTTACTGGTTAATGTATTATTTTTCAATTTAAAATCATTTATAAGGAACAAACTTTGATATGCTGAAATAGTTACTTTAAAATTTTTTGTGTTGTTTGTGTTGGTGTTTAGGCTCCTGTTCTTTATGGAACTATAAAAGTAAAAGTTTAAGTGTGCCATATAAAGTAAATAAAATGTATACACAATAGTGTTTAAAAGTTTGGCAAAAACATTATGGCCTGGTTCTACAGACAGTACTTAGAACAGATTAAGCTAGGATTATGCATAATTAGCTTTAATAAATGTGTCTTAGAAAAAAAAAACATTACCTGTGTGCATCTTGAGACAAAACAGTGGCACTGAATATGCTCAGATATGTCAAGTTGCTTATTTACAGCTCAAACATGCATTTTATTCTGGTACTAATTTAAATCTTGTCTGTAAAACTAAGAGGTATACCTTGTAGAAACCTAATCTGGTATTAGAACCCTTTTTCTGACAATGCCATTTTAAAACTTTAAGACTTGAACAATGAATATGCATGAATAAAAATGTTTCACATCACATCATTTAATTACAAAATTTCACACATTCACATATACTACCACTACACTGCTCACCTTGAAGATCTGCTAAAGTAAGACCTGGCAGAATCTGAATGATCATCCAGCCATGCCTTCACTCTCTCGCTTTCCTGACCCATCCTGAATCCCAGTCTCTGGGTTTTGGCACCATGGTTCCAGAGCGGGGAGAAGAACCATCCAGCACTGACTATGACACTCTGTTCTTTCTCACTGTCATTCCTCTCCACATGAGCATCCTTCTCTCCATTCTTCCCTTTTTTACCAGATTTGGACCTGGATCCTTGAGACCCCCTGCGGGCTGAGGTGACTCCATACCTGCCTTCAGTAGGCAAAGAGGACAGGGACTCCGTGTGCAGACATGGCATGCTTTCTCTCTTTTCTCTTCTCTCCAAGTGCAGATGCTGATGGGCAAGTTGCTGGACCTTCCTGAAGGTGTGACAAAAGAGAGATGAAAAGCACAGATCTGCACGATCGCTGTCCCAGGCAGGTCAGAGGATTAAGCTTTGCTGTCACCAGCAACACTAACAACACAACTCTTCACAGCGGATCTGGAGACTAATCTGTTACATAAAACAAATCCCTGAAATAACACAGAGAGGTTCTGTTTTTCCCATTCAGGGAACTGGATTAGTGTCCCAGAGAGCTATTAATGACTTGTCTTCTCGCTCTACCTGCCAAAGAGCTATTAGAAAATGTCAAGTGGACATACATAGGCAAATCCCACATGATCCAAACCCAGATAAAGAAGCAAATAGATTAAAGACTAGATCAGAGCACGAGGACAGTGAACATACTGTACATGGAGTTTGATTAATAACACACATTTTAGAAACACATTTAAATTAGTTGCTATAGATAATGACATTCCAAAATAATTTATGTCAGAAGAATGTCATCATCAGGACTTTCCAAGGTTCAGTCATGACTCGAGCAGAACACCATTCCATTTTCTAGAAAGCACTTCCTCTTCCCCTAAAGCTTCGTAAAAAAGTAGAACCGTGCAACGAGTTATGAAATAGCGTTTTTAATGAGAAAGTGATATTTCAAGTGATATTGTGTTGTAATATTTATAGTCCACAAAAGAAGGCTACAGACAGCAAGTAAGTAGGCTACAATTATTCTAAAGTATATTATATAAAGTATATAGGCCTACTTCCAACTTCCAAGTATAAAAATGTCTACTATTTCATTTCTTTCAAGTTACACCGCCATGCCAATAGCGTCATCTACTGGTAGCTACACCCAAGAAGAAGAAAAAATAGCCATAGCCACCAGAGTCTTGTCTTATTTACTTGAGAGACGTGACGAACTTTCTGTCGCCAGACTGAGTTCCAGCGGATGAATTTTGTATCTATTCATCAGCCTATAATAATCTTCATTTTTTTTTTAAACGAAATTTAAACAACCGTTTTTGGCGCTCGACAAATCCCTGTAACGTTAGGGCCTTCAGGAAAGCACGTGAACCTCAGAAGTGAGAAAGATGTTTTCCCTTGAGAAAAATGAACATGTTGCCTACCATATCGATTTTAATCAAATTATCACTCCAAGCTGAAGTCAAAAGTTCTCAGGTAACGTGTTCGCATGTTATAATGTGACCAAACTAATGTTACATCTTTGTGGTTGTAACGTTAGCCTTATTATTGGCAAACATCCAATAATGTTTGCCAATAATAAGGCAAACATCCAATACTTGCCAATATTTGATGTTTTGCCAAACATCCAATTGGCAAACATCTTTGTGGTTGTAACGTTATTGGCAAATTCCGTTTAAAAAAGTATAATAACATAACAGTGTTGGCTACAAAAAAAAAAAAATATTGTTTAAATTATGGATGTAGTTCATTTATGTTGTAGTTCAAAAAGTATCATCTATAATTTTTAACTACAGACCTTTTACGCATTAAGCATACAGTATGCTTATTTGGCATTGCTTTGTTTACCTCAGCTTTTTTATTGTTTCCCTACAGTAATGGGAAAATTAAACAAGTATTTTAGATTACCAGATGCATAACCTTACAATTATTACCCAAATGTTTGCTTCCTTAGTTTTGACATTTGTTCAATCCTAACCTTCCCTTCACACTGTTTATTAATATCTACACACACTAGGGGGAGCAACTCAACAAGTTTTCAGAGGATCTTCATGTCTTCCCAATTTTATCACATTACAGTATTTCCTTACAATCTGTCAAACCTCTTTTCATATTCATGTACCATTTTCTCTTACCTCAAATGTGTATATTTGTCCTTCCATTATTTACTTTCTTTTATCTGTATTTCCTCTTCCATCCTTCCCATTTTGGATGTCATCTTGCCACAATTCCCATCAGTCTCATTGTGGCACACGTCTCACTCCAATGAATATCTCTGGCTCCACCGCATCCCAGATTATCTTGCCTCTCTTCTCATGCTTCTCCCTGATTCCTCATCTTCTCTCCTCTTTGAGTTCATTCCTCTTGTCACCTGCAGTGGGAGGGGCAATGGAGGATAGCTGAGCTCTGATTGGTCAAGCAGGTAGGAGGCTTCTGTGACATCGTGATGCTGTGCAGATGCTCAGCAGCAGTGGTAGCCGAGAAAGACAGGCTGGCGGTATCCTCCCTCTCTCTCTCTCTCTCTCTCTCTCTCTCTCTCTACCTCTACCTCTTTCTCTCCCTCCCCCCTCTTTTTCATCTTTCCTTTCCCTTCACGCACAAGCACGCATACACGCGCGCGCTCTCCGTCACACTGCAGTAGAAAGGAGAGGACACACCGTGAAGCTGTGAGGTAGGACCAGGCCTCTCATCTTCTTCCTCATCCTTCCTGTGAAAGACAACCTGTCTCTCTCTCCTCCACTATCCTGTGCTCTTCTTCAAGGACTACCGCACCCAGGGAGCGCCTGGAAAAGGTCTTACCGCAGCACGACGGATCTACGGATCACTCACACACCTACATCCTCTTTTTTTCCCTCTGCATTTCTTGTTGCCAGGCAGTGTTGACTGAGCGCCAGGACGTGCGCTCAAGCACGTGTGCATATGACGAGGTGCTTTTCTCCAGCTGACTGAACGTTTTTTTCATCCCGCTTTTCCACACTTTTCCCTGTGTGGACGTGGCATCCTTCACACCCTCATCGTTTGCCGCACGTCTTCCTCCTCGCAAAGGCAGACTGTATCCCAGGATGCTGTGCGGCAGGCTACTCTGCTAGGCCGCAGCAGCATGGGCAAAGCACCGGGGGGGTGGGACAGCACGGATTGGACGGCTCTGCTCCGGACGGGCGCGCTTACGCACTCCGCTGCTTCCGATGGGTGAGGACAGTGAGAGCCCCAAAATCAATCACAGCTTCCTCCGAGACTATGTCACAGAAGGTATGTGCACACACCTGCATGAACACTCCATCTTCACACACACTCTACTGTTATTTGATCCCGTTCACCTTTCTGAAGTCCTGAATATAACCTTGATCTCAGCAGCTGTGTGGTAAGGTCTACTAAATATTCAGCTGACTCATCAGACTTTGGTCACCTGGTCCCACATCACATTTGTTATTTGGTCACAGCTTGCATTAGTGAGATTAGTAATTCATGTGCAAACAGAACCTTGCATTTCATGCATTTAATTTTAAATCATATTATTCTTATGATTTGAAGGAGAATCAATATTTTAACTTCCCCATACAAGCACTTGCACATTAGTTGGAAACATTTGTGTTTTTTACAGGCCTTACCATAATCATGTTACTGAATGCTTCATCAGGAGCAAGCCAGGCTGTTTTTATTGAGTGTCATCATCATTGTACTGGCAGGAGCAAGAGCATGCCGTTTATCAACTATTAGGGTGTACAATGCGAAGCCATATGCCCAGATGAGGCTCTTGACTAAAAGTGTTTGCGTCGACAAAACCACAGTTGTGCTGTGCTAGCACATACTCATGAAACTCATATTACTTTAGGTAATTTGTACCGTAAAATATTTTTTGCTGGGATTTTCATGCAATACTTTAGATGAATTATCATTTAGCTCAAGGTGTGCAGTTCTCTACCCATCTATTTAAATTATGTGTAATTTGTACATGATATTATCTTAATATATTAAGATATTATTATTTTTTAATACTAATATATATATATATATATATAATTACTATTTTCACTGATAAATTTACAATCCACTTTCTTTCTTTTTAGCTGATGTCATATCTACCGTGGAGTTTAACCAGACGGGGGATCTGCTGGCCACTGGGGACAAGGGGGGGAGAGTGGTCATCTTCCAGAGAGAGACAGAGGTAGGTCAAACTGAGATAAGCACTACAGTGGGTGATTGATAATTGGGGATTAATGTAGTGTTTTTTTAAGCAGCGGAGTGAATTTGATGGGGGAGAGGAAGATCAAAGGTCATAATGATTAAAAAATTCTGTTCTGACAAAAATACTAGATATGTTAGTTTTTACACACATTTTGTAGCGCTATAGCATGGGACACTTGATATGCTTGTGGTGATTTTAATTCCCACTTCTCAAAGAGCCTTATGACATAATTAAAATAGATCAGGTTTAAAGTACTTCATAAAGACAACGTATCAGATATCGACTGTGATATTGAGCTGTATGGTTCACAGATCACAGTTAGAAACATTGATTGAATCGGTGCATTTTCCATGTATTACCCTGATTTTAAACTTAAACAAAACACATTGTTATTATGAGACATCTCATGGAAACAGAGTTTCACCCATTTAAAGTTCAGACATCTCTTTATTTGTTATTTTGGAGGATATTTACAAAATGCTAAACTAAGAAAAATTTCTAGGTCAATTTTTTTTATCTATTACATCTTTATACGGCGAGATTGCATGTTTATATATCATATACATTGCATATACATATACAACTGTTAAAGTAATTATACATTCGTGAATTATACATTTGAGATCATTTTGACTGTTATTTATGTACATAATCATATATATATTGTTTATGTATTTGGGTCTTTTTTCTTGATGCAGTCTAAAGGTGAATGTGAGGAGCTGGGAGAATCGGGTGAGTATAATGTCTACAGTACGTTCCAGAGTCACGAACCGGACTTTGACTATCTGAAGAGTTTGGAAATTGAGGAGAAGATCAATAAGATCCGCTGGTTGCCACATCAAAACGCTGCCCACTTTCTCCTCTCTACCAACGGTAATCACACCTCTTCTTGTCTATCATGGTTTAAACTAGTCTAATCCATCTAATTCGGAAATGAACCATTCAATATAAGAGGGAAATAATTTTATGCCTAATATTAAAGGCATTGTGATTATTCTGTGCAAGAAATCAATACCAGATATTAGACTGAAATAGCTGGGTTGCATTACACATTTCTATGCAAGTAAGACAAAGCCATTATTTATAGTATCATGAGCAAGCATGAACTCTCAAGCACGCTCAAGGATTATATATTGATATCAAGGATTATATATTGATATATTATATATCCACTGGATTATATATTGATATTTTGGTATAGAAAGTCTCTGTTATAAAAATGAATGGCTGGTAATTTCCAACAGATAAAACGATAAAGCTATGGAAGGTGAGCGAGAGAGACAAGCGGCCAGAGGGCTACAATCTGAAGGACGAAGAAGGGCGAATAAAGGACGTCTCCACAGTGACCTCATTACGGGTATTTTCACAGCTGGCATATTAGATCAATACACTGCAGAAAATATAACTGGTTTGATTTAGCATTAGTTTTAGTCACTGATTTTTGACATTCTCTGTAACAACTTCGATTGAATTCTTCTGTTTATTGACTGCTAAATTGTATAATTGACCGTTGTCATTATCAACAATTTTCCTCCAAACAATAACTGTGCTAGTTTCTCATATTACTATTTTTC